CCCCCACCCCACCTACCAGACTCCCGGGAGATCTGCACAAAGGCCTCCACGCCGCTCTCGCCGTAGTTGCCCTCCGACGCCAGGGTGGAGACGTAGGTCCAGCCCATCGCCATGACGATGTCCAGCATGGCCTGTGCCTGGTAGGAGTCGGGCGGCACCACGCGTGAGAAGAAGTCGTAGCGGGTGTTGTCGCTGAGCTCGGGGGCCGTGGATGCATAGCTGATCTGAGGTATCTGTAGAAAAGCGGGGGGGGGGTTAGTCCAGAACAGGCAGGGGTGGAAAAAAGATGCCGATATACCAGAGAGCGTACGCAGTACAGACAGGAAGCAACGGAGAACGGAGGGGAAATCAATCAGTGGCCTGGTGGGATGGACGCCGGGTGTCAGGATACGGCTAAGGACAGCGAGGACAGGAATCTATCTGCGTGACGGACAGACAGAAGGGTAAACAGAGAGAGCACCGGCCCCGAGGAGGCATGTCGGCGTGGCCAGATGGCCGGGTGGCCTGCTAGGAGGGGAAGACGGGCCAGATTCGGTGAGACAGGGGGGGCCAGCGACTGAGCGACTGACACGGGGTCAGGGGGGCGGTGGGGGGGGGCAGCCAGACAGCAGGCCGCAGGTCGCGGGAGAGGTCACAGGAACCTCAGGAGCTTGCGCACCGCCGCACATGGTCAAAACACAAAAACAACTACAACAGAGACGACGACCGGACACTTACAGGGACACAGACTTCACAGACCACCTCAGCTCCGGGCAGCAAGATGGGTTTATTTTCACTTTTCCCATTTTTAATATAGCTCTTCCTGAACTTCGGCAAAGTTCACCCACCCAAGCAGACATTACCATATCTGTGACAGATTTCATAAGTTTACTGACTGCGGGAACATGAATAATACATATAATGCTGCCAAGTAGGTAAACTGATAGAATCAAAAAATACAGAATAGGTGACAATAAATATTATTGTTTCAAAAGCTGACCATCTCCGGCTGTCCCGGCGTCAGGGGGAGTGAGACGCAGCAGGCTGCTCCTGAGACGGCCATCTTTCAGATGTTTAACCAGACCAGCCACCACATGGACCTGGGTCAGATTCCAAATGGATTCAGATGTCTAAGACACATCAGCAGGACGTGGTGTGGGGTTTGGCAGGTTAGGACACTGTGCCTCTGCTCAGAAGGTCACTGGTTCAAAACCCAGAGTCAGCAGAGTGATTTCACCGTCAGGCCCTCTATCACTTCAGGGACCAGGTGACACATCTTTCTCAAAAGCTGGATGTGAAACTGGATAAAAGCAGCCACTAAATAAAACAAGTAACCAGCCACTAGGCTGAAATTCAGGTATTTCCTGTCTGTAATATGGACAGGATCAGGATCAGGACCAGGATCAGGACCAATCTGAGCTGATTCCAGCATCCATGCAGGATGCCTTTATGGGCTGAAGCAGCTCGGGTACCCACTAACACCAGAACAAATTAAATATTCATAATGTCATCAAAAGGGAATATGAACTACTAATAAATAACAATATTCACCAGAATCCATTTCCTTTTCAGTCTAAAAATTTCACTCAAGATGAATAAAATTAACATTTTTCTTGAAATATTTAGAAAGTTTTTTTTCCACTCGATACAGGAGTATGCAGCCAAATTATTATTATGAATGTTGTCAGGGTGCATATCCTACACTCCAAAACGCTCTAAGCCCACCCCACTAGATGACTTGAATCAGCAAGCCTTAACTGCCACGCCCCCAGCTGGGCCACTTTGTAACTGCATGGACAGGACAGCGATCTGAGATGGCCGCAGGGGCTACACTTTTAATGTGGCACGGGGAAGCAAGGACCATCATGCAATGTAATTTAGAAATGTGTTTGAAGACTGACAATTTTAATGCCACTTTTGCTGTCTCATTAGTTTGTTTGTTGAAAAATTCAAGGAAAAATTAAAGTCAGCAGAAGACCATGAGTGGTAGAGCTCCTCATCAGCCCCCGCACAGCATAGAACGGCCCACGGAAACTTCCAGAGCCCCACATGAGGGACTGGTGCTATCCCTCCTCTGCCCACTTCTCCCAGATGGGTGATTCCGCAGCCTGTCTCGACAGCTGAACTCCAGCATGCAGCGAACACGCACTCCTCACAGCCGTCTGTTCGAGAAACTTCTGGAAACGTTTCACATCAACCCGCGAAATATTTCTGAAAGTGGCAATTTCAGCAAACTAGCAGTCTCGCAGCCGGGAGGATAACAATCTCGGCACTTACGTCAACGCGGCGTAATTACATTCACGGCGCGTGGTAATCTAATAGTTGTCGCGGGCATCTCGAACAGACCGCAGCGTGGTCATGTGACTTAGGGCTGCAGCTTGCACACGGAGAAAACGCGCGGAGCGATAAATCAGGGGCTAATTTTTCACAGCTACTGTGGACGTCCAGATGTCCCCCCTCCCAGGGAGCCAGGAGACACTGGTAGGGTGGGGGGAAGGAGGTAGCATCTTCAAGCATAAAGAACACCAAAGTTTTTACTGAGACTTGTCGATTCTATAGCCCCCTCCCCGCCGGACATAGGTTATTTATGTCCTCCGTCTGGGGGATCTAGCAATGATTTATTCCCCCAATCCACCTCCACCCACCGCTCTCAGCAGTCACTGGTGGATAGAGTGGCCACAGCCTGAGATGCCGCATTAGGGTGATAGATGGCGCTCCAGTGGCAGCAATTAACCCAACTCTCGCACCCGTACTGTGAGATGCCGGAATGGGCCGCGATGGGCGTGGCTTGCCACGGCAATGAAACGCTGTACACACGGAGGATGGTGATGACAGTGATGAAGACAATCGTTACTCAATAAAAACAGTCGAGCATGTTTGTCAGTGTTCATTTAAAACACAGTAGAGACTTGGCCTCTCTCTCCTTCCACCTCACTCTTTCTCACAATCCGTCTCCCTCCCCTGTTCTCTCTTTCCTGATTCTCTCTTCATCTGCATCTTCCTCTCTTTCTTTCTTTCTTACCTCTCCTGCTCACTCCCCATCTACCTCTCACTCCTCTTCCTCTCCCTTCCTCCCACCCATATCACTCCACTCTCCGTCCCTTGCTCCTCTTCTCCCCCATCTCCATGCCCAGCCTATGGTCTCCTGGTCCTCCTGGTGTTGGATTATGGGTAGCAAACGCCTCACTTCTTGTGCGACAGTGAATCCTGGATGAGATGACTACCCCCCCTTCCCACCCAAACCAAAAGGACCAGCTTACCAGAACCATGAACTAACTGGTCCCCCTGGACCGTGAGAAGTCCCCCCGGAAGGAAACGGGCCCTTTGGGGCGAGAAACCTGGCTGGATAGCCTGGGAGAGCAAAACACAACTGTGGAAGATCCAGACACCGCAGAATCGTGGTGCAGCTAGAATTCACATGTTGTGTGATCACATGACCTAAATGAACACAGAATCACGACCAGTTTGGACTTAAAAAAAGAACCAATGGCTTGACAGCCCAGATGAGCACAGCTGAAGAAGGTGACACCAATGGCGAATAACTATCCCACACTTACCCATCCTGCCCCATGCTTACCGGCCTTGTTAATATTTATATATGTTACCCTTTGCTCCTGAGGGTCATGGGAATTTTACTTACACAAAAATGTTCTGAGGGCAGAAGGAAAAATAATTGATTCAGAGATGCAACCAATCAAATTGTAGAGAAGGTGGATCCAAGCAACTAAAGGAGGCAGGACCAAGATATCTGATTGGTTGGTCCAGCCTCCTCTAGTTGCTTGGACCCACCTCCTCTACAATCTGATTGGTTGTTTCTCTGAACGAATCATTTTTCCTTCTGCAATCAGAATATTTTTATGAAAGCAAGACTAGCCTAAGCGCTCCTGAGACTAAGGACTCACTGCTGATCTGGGTGGAGACTTTTACCCCACAGCCCTTAAAGTAGTCCCCTGGTGTTAGTGTGACTCTCAACCTGCAGACGTGGATGACAGCAGACAGGACCCACACTCACCTGCCACATTGGCCCCAGCCCTAACTGCAAGGCCACCGGTTGGCCGCAGTTTCTGTTACCCAGCTTGTGATGCTCAAACGAAGTGAGGATAGAATGAGACAAAGACTCGAATGAGACAAAGACTCAAACACGACAAAAACTCGAATGAGAAAAGACTCGAATGAGACAAAGACTCAAACACGACAAAAACTCGAATGAGAAAAGACTCGAATGAGACAAAGACTCAAACACGACAAAGACTCAAACACGACAAAAACTCGAATGAGACAAAGACTCAAATGTAGCAAGCAGTAGATCTAAGCCCACTAAATAAACTGGGTATCTATTGACGAGCGGGCAAATACATGTGGGGGGAGGGGGGGGGAGTGCCTGTCTGTTTTGCCTGAACTTGTGCGTACTGTACAGAGTCCCCCCGTTTTTTAACCTTTCAGCACCTGCCCCTCAAAATGTCCCAGGTCAACCCTGCTCTTCTGTACTTGTTCGCTCCTCCCCACGCTGTCTCAGCAGATCCTGACAATATGGTGGATCCTCCTTCCTTGCACCATGTGAGGGGTTATGCAGCTTCTCCCTTGGCGACTGCAGCCACTTACGCTTCAGTGTGATTTTTATATTTTGCTTTATGCAGTAACTCTGATGCCACACAAAACTAGCACGTCGTCAAAATTCAGTCAATGTAAACATGCAGGCATGGGGTCAACCGGTGATTCTCTGTGGGGCTCCTGGCGGTTTAATAGGCACGGGGCACCAGCCACCTCGACACGCTTTGCCGTAATGTGATAGTGACCGCGGGCGACCTCTCACGCCCGCCATGATGGCGGGCCAAACCCACCGGTCAGCTGTCATCACACACTGCCAGGAAAACACAGAACGGATGTTCTTCGGGGGGCTGGGGGGGGGGAGAAGGGCCACCGATAGCATCAGAAGTGGCTCAACTAGCCTAGGGATGCCAAGCCCCCGGCTCTGGCTCACTGAGGAAATCTGATTGGTTGGAACAGCTGTCAGTCTCAGCAGGCTGATGAAAATTAACATGCCAGCTTTTGGATTCTAACAAATGACATCCATCTTTGATCTGTCATGACGCCCATCGCTCCCCCCCCCACCCCCTCACCGCCCCAAACACCCTAGTGCGCCCGTTCTAAGCATGGATGCTCACGGTCTGTAGCATGCCGTTGGGCTATCAGGTCCTGAGCTACCCACTCGATTTTTCACGCTCCCAGCCTGGAAATTGATGCCGACAGTCTT